GCGATTCGAATTTCGAACGCATTCGGCGCGCAACGGTGCAGTTTTCAATCTGTGGTTTCTGTTCCCGCTTCAAACGCTTTCATTATGAGCGAAGCGGTGCGTTCTAGAGATCGGATAAAAGCCGTTATTGCTGGCTTGCATCGACTGCACATTGTAATCTACGCTTTTAAAGTAAAAGGTCCGCCTCATTTCAATAAGTGATGTCGGTTCGAGATATTTTTTCATAAATGTAACACGTAATTAAACGCCAATGTACAAAATAAAAATTTAATGAGGTACAAAAAAATGAATTATCAGTGTTACTAACTTGCTCTAAGATCAATGTCATATCGTAATTATCAAGAACGTTATAATAATATAAAGAAACTAACCGTCCTAAAAATCATTTCTCAAAGCAACTTAGGGGTCCTCGGTCTTATAAACGCGACAATTCCATCCAATATAATACAGATTTTACCTTAACGACATCTCTACAAGTTGAAAGGTACTCATTTATAGAGAAATTTCCTCGAAGTTTCCTCAATTAACTGTTGCCCTTTCATCTCTTGATAAAGAACATTCCGAACTGAACTGGCTGTTATTAGACTAATTGGAAATGCCAATATTCACCAATGTTTTTGAAAACATTTTTAGTATCCATGATTAGTATATTTTTTGAATATACTATTTCCAATTTTAACGTTGACATTTAAATGTAAAATATATAATATTATTTAGTAATAATAAGTTTAATTTCTTTGTAAGTGATTTTATTAAAGGATCAAATAAGAGTTTTCTTGTAGATGTAAGTGTTTATTAAAAATATCAAGTTTACTTAATCCTATAATCTAATGTGTCAAGCATGTAACAAAGAAATAATTTTCCTTCGTGACCCGAGATACAGCAGTGAGTTGAGTCGCGACAAGCAAATTTAGTGACGCAGTTTCACGGTACATTAAACTGCGTAGTTCAACAAAAATTTACTGACCTATTTTAGTGTTGATTGTATTTCAGTGGACGTTGTTTAATCCAAATTATTTATGTATTATATATTGTATACAAAATTTCTGGTGAGTTTTTTTTACTACATTTTTCGACGACAGCGACATTCGTTTTATTTTTCAAGTTTCTTATCTATAAAATGCAATTAAATCTTTCTTGCCTTTCATAACAGAATTTCTCAATAAGCTTGTGTAAATATTTATTTTTCATCCAATGATGTTGGCAAATCCTTGCGTATTCCCGGTGGGTATCGGTGACGTATTTGAAATGGAGAAGTTTATAGGAGCGATTGTTCTCAAAGTCAATCAAGTTTATTGAGCTGTCGAGTTTGATTCTGTTTGTTGTAGCGAATAACTTATTCCATTTGGTGTTTTCGAATAATCACTATTGCTATTTTGTGGCCTTTGTGGTGATTTTTTTACTATACTTTGGTTGGAAAGTTTCTAATGAAAAATTACTCTCATAATTACATGTTAAGACGCACAAAATACAGATATATTTCGACACAGAGAATGTAAAATGAGAAATACTTCTTTTTGGTCATCATATTTTGAGACGTTACAGATTCAAAAAACTACGAATAATGATAAACAGAAATAAAAAGTAAGTTATGAGGAAAAACCTCGAACTTTCGCAAATTATTGTTCCAAGAATGCCTTTGATGTGAGCTTATGAGGGGCGTGCGTAGAATGTCCCGCGGCAATGCGCTAATGACCCGTCGACATAAACCTTGGATTGTAAAACCTTTTTACGTACTAACATAGAAAAGGCACTTTCGTAAAGATTTTATCATTACGACGGTGAAAAAAAGATTAGTAGAATATGCGTGGATATAAATTTTAATTTACATTTCGATTAAATGAAACGAATAAAAACAAAACATCGTAAATGAAACATAAAACTACATATATGTATTTCTTTAAATATCTTTTACAGTGGAACACAATATTCCCTCCCTCTCAATATTATGTTCATCGTTATTGACGATAAAAATCGTATCATATAATGCTTTAACTAAATTTATTAATATCCAAATAAGAAAATAAATTATGAATGTCTTAAGGATTTATTTGAACAATTTATTCAACTGCTAAGTAAACACCATTCTTCTTATCATCTCGACAAACTTCATAACATTCTGCTTCACTACTGTTTTAACTCATTGAAAATGAAATGTAGACAATGCAGCTAATGGTCGGTAACCTGATCCTATTGTTGGTGTAAACAGTTGCACACCTTTTCAAAGAAAATCGCGTTTGTAACATAATATTAAGCCTCGTGTAATGCCTTTAGAAGCACAATTAGAACACAACTAACGATAATGTAATAAGATAGGAACAAAAGAATAAATTACGTCATAAATTGCTATAAGCTGTACCGAAAATTCCGAGCTGAATATTTTAAGAATTTAAAATCTCGTATTCATAGTCTTAACGACAATAAATTCTTAATAAAAGAAACCTTTAAAATGTAATGTTTTGTTTGATTATTGTATTTCTTGATAAACGTAAACTATAAATAAATACTTTGTTACGGAATTGACATTGAAATAATTCAATTAAATCAATTAAGTGCCTCAATCGGATTAATTTCGATCGGTACGCGAGTGTGAAAATCCTGTTAAGAAGATATTCAAGGATTGTGTTGTTTTTGTATTCAGTAAATCCTATCTCGCGACTCTATAACGCATATATTCTTAGTACTTATAACGTTATATTAAATAATAGGATTAAAAGAATCTTTACGACAAAAATTACTTTGTGATTTTTGTAATAAAAGTACGCTACGGCTAGCTCATACTTTGCGTATTAAAAATATTTGATGCCAATATGACAGAATTGATTCCTTTGTTTTCTCTTTTACTTTTTAATTACCAGTCTCTTAGGTTATCCTTAATATACATACTTACATATAAACTAATATTTTAACTAGAATTTAATCTCAGGCTCTATCAGACATGGGTTGGTACAGTCCCCGTCGCCTCTTAGGTTCCCTCGCGGTGCCCGAGATGAGGGCTAGTACTTTAGCCGCAAGGGCCCTGTGCCTGGACCCCTCCTACTGCAAAGTGCCCTGCGTCGGTGGAACGGAAGGCGGGGCTTTAGTGCCTTTATTCTCCAAAGCTGTAGAATACTTCGATTTTACTTGGGTATATTTATTGTTTTAAATTATTTAAAAATAACTTCCATGCAAGACTGATATTTTTTGCGCACAGAACACACCTCGTTGTCTTTCAAAAAACTACTGACTTTTCTTACTGTAATTGAGGTGTTTATAAATCGGTCTATTGTACATCGAAATAATGACATTTTTAAATGATCTTAAATCTAAATATTGCGATAAACTTTGAGTTGAGTTGAGTAAGACCACAGTAGTATCAATTATGTAAATTTAAACTACTAAATGAAAGCTATTCTTCGCCTTTAGTTGTCTCTCATATTTTAGCATAACGCTGAAATGTTAACGGAGACAGTACGCACATCATCAGCGGCGGTGACCCGAGCTGACGGGGAATGCGTGCGCGCAGCGGAGCTGAGCGAGGCCCATGCGCTCGCAGGCCTAGTCTCCAAAGTGGCCAATGCCCTCATATGTACCGATATACCACATGTCACTGGATACTGCCAAATGAACCCTGGACAGGTTATTTGTAGTTCGAGGTAATCACTGATCAAATCTTGAAACTTGGTAATTTAGCATCAGAATAGTATGGTCCCTTTATGCTTGCCTCAACTACGACCTTCCCTTCGTATACGGCTTTGTCACGGTATAGCACCAACCGCTTTCATAAAAATATGATTTATTTCTTATGTTTGTAGCCCTGTGATTCAAATATCAGAACAGAGTAACCTCATGACAGTAAAATATAAACATGAATATTTATTTTCCCTTTCAAGTGTACACTCACAGTCTAAAAACAAGGAAATATCAATTTTAATATGAGTTGTTTTGTTTCGTATCTTATTTGCATTTCAAAGGAATACGCATTCATATTAATGAACCAAATAACAACAAAGAAATTTTGAAACTTTGCTTTAAACTTGGATATCTCGCTCATTTTAAGTTACTTAAGAAATAAGTCTACAAGTATTGGTTGGATAAGTTACTGTTTCAACTTGTTTATAACTTAGTTAACAGATTGTAATACGCCGATTAATTTTAATTCATTATAATACAAAGTTCTCAATGCTAAAAAAAAAAACAGTTTACCTTACAAATAACTTAATATTAACATACTATGTTTAAAAGAAGCCAAACTATTTATATAAGTTGTGTTATCTTTTTAAATGCGGACTTTGTCTCTTGATGTCTCTTAGAGTAGATTTATTACGAATCTATACTAAGGGACCTTAAGGAAACCATACAACGTGTCATAATTCTTAACGTTTATTCAGATTTTTAGCAAATTTGGTGGAGATCAATGGATCAGGGATCACGAGGAACTTTGGATTGCCTAAATTATCGGATACGGAGGTCACGCTTATGAATGTTGCGATGAACGAATTATGTTACAAAGAACGTCTGGTGTGCGAGTGGTACAACAAATACTGTAGCTCATCCTGTCGATTGGAAGCTTCGCAGTTGCACTTTTTCACGCCGAAACATTATGACAGATTCGATGATTGCGCATACGCCAATATGTAAACACATCAAGACAATCCGTCCGTCTGTCTGTGATCATGTTATTTATAAATATAGTTGTGGGATCCATTTTACATTTTTATTATTTTTGTAATCCATGATAATATACAAGTGTTACTAATTATACCTGATACTTTGACATTTCTGGTAGTAAAATTGCATTGTTACATAGTATTGAAAACAAAATTATAAATTCAATATATTTTATTACAACTACTTCTAAATCACCAAATGCATTTTATAGCATCTTTGATTTAAAGATATTGTTCGAATGACTGCAATAAAACTTTCCAATCCTCTTTTGCTTTATTTCATTCCTTTTGTAATTTTACACAAAATAGTGACTAGTAATGGTCCTCGTTCCCACTAATAACTTATTGTAGAGAGATATAGCAGACGGAAATATATTTAAAACAGTAAAAACTATTCAACAACAACAATCTTAATTATTTATGGTCCATTCCTCGCAAACGGTGAATACTGATTCGTCTCCAAGTACATTATCCCTTTGATCCTGAAAAAAAAAATCATTACGTAATTTTCAATCTCTGCGATTCGACTGTAGTGACACATGTAACATATTGGCATCCCTCACCATTCTCTTTTATAAAACAGAGAGATAAATATATTTCACGGTGTTGGCAGTTGATATCCCATGACAAATTAGTTATCAGAAAGATATTGCATTCTAATACTAACGGTGGTTGAGCTCCTATTCCCATATATCCGTCAACACTGAAGCCGCAGTTACTCGTGGGGTTCCGCCATGTCTTGCACAGCGTAGCGGGGAATCCAGTTGGGTTCCTGAGGGACTCCGCGTAATACCGCCACGCTCGAATATGGCTGCAACCATCTGAAGATACAGAACTTAATTTATTAGGGCACTAAATTAAAACTATCCTGATAAAGTTGAAACTGCTTGTCGGAATAAATGATTTGAGAAATTACACAATAGCCATTATTCTAACCTAAAGGCGGTTAGCGACGCCGCAGGGCAGAGTTGGTGAAGTTAAATCATATTTGAACTCTTTCGATCTTTATAATCCAACATTGTATTTGACAAAATCAATTTGTGACGAAGGTCATATACCTATTTTAAAGAAAAAAAATGTGACCTGGATAAAGCCCAAAAATTTTTACATCGTGGTCGAAACGACTGTGCGATAAGAAATCCGCTATTGACATTTGGACATTGTACGGTATTTGGCTTAAAGCCAGGCGGGGCATGCAGCGACCTGCAGTTCTGCTCCCAAAGGTGCTTTATGAGTTAAAAGTTCAAACACTCTGAGATCTCGATAAAAAGGCGAGATTAAAAACTGTTTCCATCTCCGTGCACGACTTTAAGATCTTAACAAAATATAAGGATTAATAAAATTTTTCCTTTAAATTCTAGCATTGTCCAACCGTGTGGCAAAAATGTGGCAATAAATTGGACTTCCTTGGCACAAATCAAACTTAAAATAAAAAAGACTAGTATGGATAAAGTTACACAATCAAATATAAGTTAACAAATCATTAAATATCTTGTGTAAGCGATACGGCCCATAAAACGTAATAGTAATAGCTCCTTCAACACAAATAATCGTATTTGGCGTTGCTTGTAGTACCCCCCTCCCACGGCGTCTACTGTGTATCCCCCTCCCGCTTTGCAGCATCCGCGCTGTGACGTCAGAGCATCGATCGCATCCAGCCGAAACCCTGTTACGACAGTTTTATCTCGTACTGGGATAATGAAGGGTGCGCAACTCGAATCTTCTTTGTTCTAAACATGTACTGCAAACCCTTGGTTGATTGCGTACTTTTTGACATTTCATTATTAAGACATAGAAAGACACTGCGTTGTTTTTACTTCAATTAACACTTCCTTAAACCAAAATATCGTTAAGAATAAAAAAGACCAAATTCAAGTTAAACGTGCAACAGTTTTTGAAAATTCATTATTTCGCGCCAATTTTTAAACTCAACATATTTTCTATTCTAGGTTAGAATGCGTAGTGGCTAACCTAAAATGCTACCAAACATAAGTTAGGAATAGTGTTTGATATTTTATGTTATAACCGATTCCTTCTGCAACATATATAGCTTAATATAAACAGCATTTTCAAATGTTTACTTACATATATATTTCACCTCCATATTCTTAACGAGCTGATCAACCCAGCATCCCGGCTGGATCCAAGACCCATAATTGGGATAAAAGTCAACATCACCAATAGGAGTCAGGAAGCCAAAGATCCCGGGATTCGTGTGAATGACGTCAACAAAGGCGGCGTCACCCTTGGACAGGTGGCCATCTGTGTTCGTGAACGTATAACCTGGGTAGGCAGGATCCAAACCTGGGAAAGATTAATCCAATTTTAAGACTTAATAAGTTTTGTCATAATAAGATTATAATTTTCGGAGCAGAATATAAATTAAATTTATTGATTCCCGGACATTGTATTTTTACTCGAAAGATATGCTTTTAGCTGGTGATTAAAGATATTATGGAAAAATTAAACTCAAATGTATTATAAGGATATTTAAAATGCTTATATGCATTTGGAATTATATGTTTCTTTATATTCTTTCAGATTACCGCAGTGGTTTTTAATTTTTAAATCCAAACCATAAAGAGGATTACAGCTCTTTGGCTGAAAAGGAAACAAAGCTTTTTACTACGTAAAGTATAAAGAGAATAATAAATTCGCGGGTGAACCTAAATCCGAGATTAACTGTAACGCACGATAGAAACAAACTACAAACTTAGTTACTTTAACAAAAATAAATGCAAAAACTTACAAATCTAATTTAACTACACTAAAGTTGACTACAATTCAATTGTATTTCTACAAACACGACTGTGTTTTAGTGTAAGTAAACTAATTTTAACTTAAACGACAACAATAACTTTTGAATTGATTTACTCTATAAATTAAGTAAAAACTTGAAACTCTTCAAAATAGAAATATTTTTAATCTAACACTAACATTTCTAACTAATTAGAGTAAGACGTTTTTAAAATATTCTCACCAGTTATCCTGCCTATTTGTAGACCTCTGGATTTCAGCATCTTTCCCGCGAATCCCGCAGCTTCAGCGCCTAAAGAAAATCCGACAACGTGTAATGATGATGCCCTCGCGCCCACAGAGTCCAAGTACTGTATAAAGTCGGCTAATTTCACTCCCATGTACCGAGTGTTCTTAACTGCTGTAACATACCTGAAGAATAAATTACAAAAGTTTTATTATTTAAGTATCTTTTAGAATCTTAAAATTAAAATCATCATCATCGTCATCTTGTGTCAGTCCACTGCTCGATAGGCCTTCTTTAATGCCTACCACAATATAAAGTCTTATAAAAACTTCCTGCTAAGTCATCGGTCTACTAGTTATCATTTTGTTTACTTCGATACTAATGAAAGCAAATTCAATCTCGAAGTAAAGTTAGAATAGACAAAAAAGACATCTGTCATGTTCACGCCCATCGTACATATGCGGGAAACTGAGAAATATTACCATAAAGACGCAATAAATAAAATCCGCATACTAGCGTCTACAACTGAGATTCCCAAGCGTACCATTTTTGTCTACACTCAGAACGTTGGACTCTTAAATAAAGATTTATTACCTTCTGTTCAACATTTCTGACAATGATTCTATTCCGTAGTTGTAGGATCAACATTATTTCAGTTTTATTTTCAAACACTTATTGTAGAATTCCTATACGTAACCTATAATTATTTTTGATATAGAGACACTACGATACTTAATAATACACGTGTCTAGGAAATGGAATTCTACGGTTAAACAAACAAATAGAATTACTTACCAAGGGAATGGCATAAGACGTGACCAGTCCACAGATATAAAGTTACAATCACTGGTGGCTAGATATTCTGAAAAAGAAACACCAATCTGCGTTTAAATATAATATAATAATTATATACAACGAATGAGTGAAATAGATTATGCCTAATTTCGACAAAAAAAATTAATACGCAATAAAGACTTTAAAACAAAGAAAGCTAATAAGCCGATATAGACCACAATTTTCAATAGCTAAACTTGGTTCCAAGTTTAAATAAGAAATAGATGCCAAAACAATCTGTACTTATCTCTTGCACATTTTAAAGAGTTTAAGATTTTACCCAGTTAGGTCCTTTGTACACAAGGCAACGTAAATGATCGAAACTAATATTGTATGCTACAGGCATAGCAACTACATATAGTCGGTGTGCGTTTACTAGACGATTCGCGTCGACGATTCAACGTTATGGTTACGCAGCCTACGCAACGTGATCCTCGCGACGCAACCATACGATATTAATATCGACGATTTATGTCGCCTTGTGTGCGAAGGGCCTAAGAAAGTTCCATTTAAAAACTGCTTCATCAAAAATCAAATATTATAAAACTTTATCGAAACTTTTCGATACTTGACAAATTTACTTTGAAACTTCAAAACTTTGTTAATGCTGTGTAAGACTTGATAAAATTTTGGCAACGCATTTCATCCAATATAAGTTTCCACTTTGACTTTGCATTTATTATACTGGTTTTTGACAGTAAATTAAATTAAGTGAACTGCGGAAGAGATTTTTTAGATATGATTTTGATATTTAATTATACAAATTCTTAACTTAATAAGGGAGATAATAATTTGTGTCAAAGATTAACAACTGTTTTTTTGGCGTAGACTCCTTTCAATATTTTGCTGGTTTTGATAATTTTAAATTTACCCTACTGTTAAATTAATTATTAGCAGCCCAAGATGTCCACCAGGACCAAATCAGGAATTATTGGATTAGTTAAATATTATTTTGTAATGTAATATTCAAACACTATTATCTTAAAAAGGAATACTCTTTCCTTACCATCTCTCATTGTTATAGTGCTTGGTCCTGTGATAGCCTCCGAGAAGCCCATTACATAGATGACGGTTGGCTTCGAGATGTCGAAATCAGTTCTCGACAATTCTGTCAGGTTATTTGATGGGACTGTATGGAACGTCGTGGGATGCGCTCTGAAATCAAATAATAATACTATTTTATATAGTATTCAAGCTTCTATCTGTAAAAATCACGGTACACAAATTTCCAATCCTCTTTTCCAGCCCTTACAACCTCTTTTCTGCGTTAGAAAGTAATCTATGTCCTTTGTCAGGCTCTATGTGTACCAAATTTCATTTAAATCGGTCTAGTAGTTTTTGCGTGAAACATGGACAGACAGATAAAGTTACTTTTGCATTTATAATATTAGTAAGGATTCTTATCGTCGTCAGGTTTTATAGGTCCCTACCGAGGGGCACAAAGCCTACCCAATTTAAGTATGACTGAGCCGTATATAGATAAATACGCTAGTCATGTGCGGGTTTGTTCATCGCAATACATTTTATTTGTTACTCATCAGTGAGTTTCTGAATTACTCAAATATGTAACTATCCCTCTCGTTCTTACTTTAAAATCCGAGATAGCTATATAATTTTATACAATTTATTTATTATTTTAGTTAGTTATTCGGTGGTCTTAACTGATCGGATTACCATCTTATGCTATAAAAACTGTATGCATATGTATTCTTAAAATAAAAACTGTTCTTGTTACGCACGAGATCCAAGGTCAAAGATGCCGTAATGTTATGAATAATCAAAGAATTTGTGTACATTTAAATTATTAGTACATTGTTTCATAAAACAATGTTAATTTGGTTTCATGGGAATAACGTCTTGTAAAACTGAACTGAACATAATCACAACATGGCATACCAAAACTGCTGGTAAATTTTGATCTCAAAGAATCATTGATTTGTCGTGACATTTTACAAACTATTGAAGACAAATCGCCATATTGGTATTAATAAATATGAGTTTATGAAATGCCTAATTTTAGTAAGATTATAAATGCGAATGTTTTGATGGATGTTTTTTAGGAGTATCTCTAAAACTAAAACAGATCTTGATGAAATTTGGCAAACATATAGAACATAGTCTGAACGAACTTGGGCTACTAAGTTTTATTAATACCAAGAGCGTGAGCTCGTAAAATTATAAACTAACAGAAAAAGCTTGGTGTCTGGTGTATTCCCTGTTTCCCTTTCCCTTTTCTGGAGATTCCCTGGAGACCCTCACCTATTGAATAGCTTGTACTGGATATCAATTCCGTCATCTCTTTGACAACAGTTGATGCACTCGCCTATCGGAGCTGGTGTGTAACATATTTCTGCTATACCTGAAATTAAATATATTTTTTTAATATTACTAAATATGAGATTTCATTTTCAAAATAATTGTATAAAAACAATAAAACAAATATTACTTTTAATGCAAGTTTTTATCCAGAGGAATTTTACGGTTCCAATTTACAAAACTGCAATTTTTGTATATAGCATAATTTTTATTCAGCTGCTACACATTACGTATGTATCTATTTTCATATACAAACAGGTAATGATTATGTACAATAATACCATCTCACTTCTTACTATCTTACTAATATTATAAATGTGAATGTTTGGATGAATGGTTAGATGTTTGTTTGAAGGTATCTCCGGAACTACTGAACGTATCTCGATAAAATTTGGTATACATATAGAGCAAAGTGTGGAAGAACACATATGCTGCTAATTATTTTTTTTAATCCCGCTCGGACGGAGTCGCGGTCGACCGCTAGTATACTATACGAGTATAATATTCCATGACAACGTGAATTAATAGTATCTGCAGTCAACATTTAACCCTGAATGCATCACGAGTCTATTATAGTGCATCAACAATTTGCTAAGTAATTTGTATATTTACTCTATACTTGAGATGTTTATCGTGGTAAATTGGTAAACATATAACCGTGAGTTTCTGAGACCAAAATCTCCGTTAAAACATATTATCTCTGTTTTGTCAAAGATTATGACAGGGTTAACGATATAGGCATTTTGATTTTATAAACTCACGGTTATTTACGTAAGCTTATTTGATGAATATGAGAATGATTAAAAATTATTCTCTGACCAAAAAGACTTTGATCTCAATGAATGATGATTAATGCCAAAATACAATGAAATTACACATTTAAAACAGTTTGAACTTGCTCATATACATTTAATCTGTAATAATCTGTGTTTACTGAACTTTATGCAAAGATATTATTGGCATAGGAATATTACATCTGTATCTTAAGTAAAATATACGTATTAAATCTTACTAATATAACAAATGCGTAAGTTTAGATGGATGGATGGATGTTTGGACGTGTCTCCGAAACTGCTCAACGGATTTTAATTAAATTTGGCACAGACATGGAACATAGTCTGGAAGAACACATAGGCAAATATTAAGATTATTAGAGAACATATTAAGATTTATTTAATTCCGCGCGGAGTCGCGGCTGACAGCTAATATTAAATAAAGTAATACTTATTATGTTAAGAGCATACAGGAAAAGAATAACCATTGATTATAATTAACTAAATATTAAAATAACAATTTAAATAACAAATTAAAATGCATATCGAGCTCAATACAATAATTTTATCAAATATTTTGAACTTTTTTTTTAGTTTTTTTTTTCAAAATCTTAAATTATCACTGAAAATAATAAAGAACTTACCAATGAAAAAGGTCATTATCGTGCACGGAGAGGCTTTCATGTTGCAATCTTAACACACAGGAGACAAGAGGAAAACTCTTGAGTCGTCGGAAAATCATGTCACAGTCACAGAGCGACCCCACATGCTCCCCTAACGAACACAGACTCAGTACAATGCCGCACTCACAATGCTACGACTCATTAAAAAAAAACTTTTTTTATTCCATTGAAATTTAAGTAGAGTTTTTTTGTTATTAACATATATTCAATATACACTGATATCTTCCGTATATCCACGACATTGTATGTCGTAATTTTAAATTGAAATGGAATAAGCAGATTCACGTACAGAGTACCTTTCAATAGAGCCTACTACGAATGTTTATTGCACAGAGTACCTACAACAACTGTTCTCTATTTTTCTGTCTACTCGAACGGTAAATCTTTCGCAATTTACTAAAAAAAAAGCTAAGACAAATGTCGCAACGTGTTTACAGACGGTCGTATTTAAATTACAATTTGACTGAGCATTTGTTAAAATTAAATATTTAAAAAATTACAATTTTGCAGACGATATTGAAATCTTTTATTTGTTCCTCGATTTAATATTTTTGTCTGCAATATTTTATTTAAGCTAATTATTTTATATCATGTGACCTTAACATGATTCTACTTATAACTAGTTATGGCTGAGAAAAAAAATTATAAAAATATGGATCTTAATTTTTTTGTATCATAATATTTATAATTATAATTGACTTATTATGTAAATTTAATTATTAATTAGTCGTCTTTTTTCATGCCATTGGTCTCCATTGTTAAAAACAAATTATGCAAAAACTTTTTATGTCTGTCTTTTTCAACGACAATGATAATAAATAAATTTGCCATTAGGTTCTCAAGGGTTACATCTGTGCATAGGAAACAAAACTTCGGATAGATAAAAAATGGTGTAACTCATTTGACATAACTTTTCAAGACTTAAAGTAGGATTTATTAAAAAAAAATTATAAAGTTGTCCCCACTATTAGTTCAACATTTATTATCTATGACACTTATTCCCCCCTCCCCTTTAGATGTTACAGAAAGTTTTTTTATAACTCACACAAAAAATAAACAATGATTTTTCCTTTTTGGCCAGCCACTTCTCTGAGAAGTTGTTAGGAAATTATTGTTGATAGTATCTCCTGGAACAATCGTAACGGAGCGAAATTGTAGCGAATTGATTGCGTTGCCACAACGAAACGAATAATTGAACGTTTTATAATTATTAAAATAATCATTGTTGTAAATTAAATTAATGTATCTCTTTGCTTTAGAAAGTTCACGGCTAGTTTCTTACGATACGAAACGTTTCTAAATTTAATTTTTACATGGACAAATATGTATTGTTTGTCAAAATAAAGAAACCAATCGATTCAAGCATAATTAGTCTTATATGCCGCTATCAAAAGTTCTTGGGTTCATGACCTTTTTAGCGAAGCATTGAAAAAATAAATTGGTAAGATACAATTACTTGTACTTACATCATGTTTCAATGACTTACTTTAAAGTTTCGAAGGCTTTACAATATTTGTAATTAGAAACTGATTAACAATATAATAAAGCTATTTGCACATAGAAAACTAAGATATATCAAAGCTATATTAAGACTAAATATTAATAGTTTATCTTTGCTTTACTTTGATAAAAGCGGAAATAAGTTAAGGTGCGCCTTATGTTAAGTGATGACGACCATAACAAAGAAACTGAAGATGATTCTGCGTTTAATAAAATAAACATGGAAGAGTCCTTCATCGGTACGTAACATGGTATAATAAACTATTAAACAAAAAGATAGCGTAAGTCACCACTTACGCTTATCATTTTATGCCGAAGTTTAAGTTAACTTAGGAAAGATAAAACTGCAAAATTGATGTTTAATTCAAACCATTGTGCACGTGAATAAAACAGTTTTCATATTATATAAAAATTTGGGTCGTGTGTTTTAAACTTATTAACTTTAGTGTCATTGTAGTTTCAAAAAAGAAAACAACTATTAGTCGATATGACATTATGTATTACTGTGTGTACATTATTACCGTAATAGTAATACCCACTATTACCGTGCAGGTACATATGTACACAACGTGGTATTTAACGTATATTTTTAAAAGTTCATATTTTTGTTTTGCTTACTCTAGCGAATTACAAAAAGTTCATTTTATGTTGAAATTCGTGACTCGTATAACTTTGAAATAAATTACTGTTTTCTTTTTGTTTGACCTTAAAATTTTCGATAACCTTAATCCGGAATATACGGAAATCTTTTTCATCTTTAAATAAAACCGATAAAAAATACTGATGGAAATATATTGTGTTGACCTTCAATAGAGTTTGATATATCGATTGTCCAACTTCCGAGTTGAATTTTTATTAAGGATTTATTGTATTATTGGAATTGGAATATTTTATTTAAAAAACCTTTTTTATACGACCGGCCTATTACTATTTCGGATAAATCTTTTGGTAACAAATTGCCTTGTTTTATTTAATTTATAACATTATTTTAACGAATATAATACAGGTTAAATGTAAGTTATTTTTGATGTTAAAATATTCAATGTAAACGCTCCCTAATGCAGACCTTGATAGATTTGACGTTGACATGGTAACGGGCCGGTTAAATTTAATTAGAAGCTGGTTAGAGACGTTGTGCCGCCTCCTTATTAGATCCGGCCTCTAATCAACCGGGAGACGGTTATTGGAGGTTCCCGAGATATTAAAAATGTATGTATGTATACATAACCAGCGAACCCTCTATTTAGCTGAAAGTTGCAATTAATTACATACTTATAGGAAAAGAGAATTGCTTTTGTTTTTTTTTTTAAATTCGTCGACATTAATCCAGTATGTCTTTATATTCTGTTTCTATTTTAAAATAAAACATTTGAATTGTTGTATAAAAATTAAATTTAAATGTCATTAATGTCACGATATATATAATAATAAAGGTTAGATATTATATTTGTTGTACCTTTTATATTTTAATTCCAAGATAGTTAAGAGTTTTTTTTTAATTTATGAATCAAAAATAGTTGGTGCCTAAGTTTAAAAAGTAAACATAAATGCAAACTCCTAAGATCAATGTAAAACAACAATTCAAATTTATAATTGCTTATACGGTTAGTACGGTATTTGTTGCTAAAGAATGATGTAAAAATCGCTTTTGTTACTACAGGGGACCCTTACTTATAGCTTACTTTTCTTTATTTCCAGGACAAATTGCTCAATAAGCTAGAAGAAAACGAGCCCGAGTTAGCTTCATCTCCCGAAGAAGAAGTAAGTGTATTTTGTCCTTATCTTTTTAAATGATTTATCTATTAAATGTTTTGCATTTATGTTTATCAAAATAAGGTCGAATACTTATGGATGATTAACTGTAAGAACTGTTCAATTGATTTACAAACCAGAAAAAATCCATTCTTCAATATTAAAATATTTATGTTTTTTTTTTAATTTTATGGTTTACATTACAGTGTGTAATATGCGTGAACGCGAAAGCGACGATGCAGACATCGCCGTGCGGCCACCGCGTGGTCTGCCGGCGATGCTTCGTGAAGACCATTCAGATGGCAGTCAGCCAGCGCCTGCTGCCGCTGCGCTGCGTCATCTGTCGTGCCAAGATACTGCGTCTGCGCCAGGCGCCACGACTGGTCACCAGCAAGAGTTGGCAAGTCAGTACCACGTGTAAAACGTATAAAAACAATTGACTAAACTTCAGTTACTGTTATTCATTTGATCATATTTAGCTAGTCTATATTGTCGGGTATGAGCAGAGGGGAATAACGAGAAAGTATGGAATTCAGGCATTTTTGTACCATATTATGGCATGACTCAACCACACTTACTACGACAACTTACAGGCTGATTGCAGTCATCTCGTCTCTGTGCTAAAGAGATTAAAAAGGTCTGGGTCAAGAAATATAAAAAAGCATAGCATCGACGCATAAATCGAAATAAATTAAATAGTTATTTCGGTTAATGAAAATTTTACAGATCACGTTTCCGAAAAAAGTGTGTCACGGACAAATAAATATAAGACCTTGTGCGAAACTGAAAACTAATCATTTACTTTAGAGAATTTCTCCAAGCGCGCTTACAATTATGTAACATCATTCATTATATTTCTTCAAATTAAAATAATAAATAATGTATGAACTATTCAAATGCAAATTACAATTGGTAACAACATTTTTAATTACAGTTAAATATACAGCACGCCTATTACCGACCTTCATTGATATATATATACCTATGTATTATTGATATTAAAGACACGGTTCCATAATTTTATTTTTAAAACAATGATCATAATGAAGTGACAAACATATGCAACTCAGTCATGTATTAAAATATTAATCGAATGTACAGGTGTCGAGCTCCAGCGGCAAGTCGTGGGGCGTGCCAGGCTCTGTGTCTAGCTACTCTGTGGGAGCGCGCTCCGTACCCGCCTCTGCCTCGCTTTACTCCGTCACCAGCGGGGAATCCTCCCTTTCAGGTTAATTTATTTACTCCTAGTGGTGCTTTGAAGCTCGAGCTTAGTAAACGCTCTTCGTGTGTGTTAAGTGAATATTGTCATACCTCAAGATTATAATCAAAATATACGTTGAAATAAATGGCGCTAGTTGCCTTATTAACCTAATGTATATTATCTTGAATCAGCCACCTTTTTAAGCTTGTTGTAACAGTAGGAGAAACAAATCACCCTATTTATACTGCCGATAAAATAAATATTACAGAAAGGACAGATTAGCTCGTGTTATAAAGCTTCTACTAATTCCCATCCTATTGTTTCAATTTGTCAATTCGATATCCAGGAGTATCATCCGTTTCATCGAACAGCGGTGGCAATGTGAGCGGGTGCAGCACGAAGTTATGCGGGGGAGCAAAGTGCGGCGGTGCGTGCCTCGGTGCCATACCGCGCCCGCCCACAGCCACGCACAAGCCGCGACAACCAGCCTCTAATGCGCTGCGTCGCTCGCAGCAAAACAGCATGAAGGTACAATACGTTTACACTAAAACCGTCATGGATCTGTAAATTCTTACGGTTTCCCACATAAGGAAGACAGTATTACTGCAACACAGCACAGATCTAATTGTAGACATTTTTCGTTTTCAGGCTCGATTACAAGAATATCAGATGCACAGCTATACTGGTGGACCGGCGGGCGAGCCATCAGGCCGGCTGCCGCCAATAAGGGAGTTCCAGAGAGACTTCCGCGAGGGACGACGCGAGAGCGCCGTAGCCACGTGCGCCTCGACTAGGATAAGGTTGTTATCTGCATTTTTTTATATTACAATACTGGATCCGCCACGTAGAGTACCAACATCCTTAAACGGAAAACTTTCACGTTGAAAGCAGATCACAAAGATTGGCCTCTATGTCTTTCTCGTAGAAAGTTTTTCGATCGACTATTACTTTTACGAGCAATACCTTAAACTTATAATAAAATCTTGGGGTACCGTAAACTCTTGGGTTTCTATCATTTCTTCTGTGGCTATAAGTACCAGAGTTTGTTATATTTGTGGCGGGAGACTTGAAGGTTCACGTTTTTCGCAGTGTGCCACTGGAGCGCGGGGCACGTTAATGTACGTATTTAGTTTGTTTGCTCTAGTGAACAGATGTAAATACGATAGGCATTTGAAATAGTTTGTTTATTGTTTGTTTTTTATAAAAGTTCCTTTGAATAACCCGTAGTTTTAGATTTATATCGATAGCAATGAGTGTCCAAACTTTCGCTGTACTAAATACGCTCCAAATGTTCCGACGATATGCATGGTATTATAAAATGTGCATAAATTAAAAATTAATAACTTAAGATTAATATTTAACAATATTAAATCAAAAAATCAACATACAAAATTGACATTGTTCTCGTATTTTTTTACAGATGTGCCCAGAAAATAGTTACGCAATTAGAAACCTCTCCGCAGAAAGACAACCAACACTTCTTCCGACCTTTCAAGCCTTTGAATAAAGACGAAACCCCTAGATCTAGAGACCCAAGCAATGAGACTGATAAGAAAAAAGATAACCCCAAAGCAAAACCAAAAAAAGAAGAAAAGAAAAAGAAAGAAGACGAAAATACAAAATCTGGAGATAAAAGCAAGAAAGACGAAAACAGTGATAATAAGAAAAATGAAATAGCGGAGAGAAAGAAGGAAGAGAAATTACGACTTAAAGCTGAGAAAGAAGCGAAAAAAGAAGCTAAACTTCAAGCTAAGGAAGAGGAAAGACAGGCGAAGCTTCTAGCCAAGGAAGAAGAACGGCAAGCTAAATTATTAGCAAAAGAAGAGAAGAAGAAGGCAAAGAAAGAAGCTAAGTTAGCAGCACAAGCAGAAAAAGAGAAGGCGAAATGAAGATGTGGTTTTAAAATTTACAGTAGAAAAAACGTAGCCGTCTTTAGGTTTTAGATTTGAAATCGTTAATAAAGAATCGTAAATAGATTACTTCTAAGACTTTTCAAATGGCCATAACTTTTGATTGTGTTAGCAGTATTACTAAATTTCTTTTTAAATATTAAACAGAATATAACTCGATATGGATATTATTAAGATACAATTTTTAGTTATAAATTTAGCTGGTTTGCCATATTTTCTTCTTCGAATTGTTATATAATTAGAGTGTTGTATATAGTTTTAACTACGAAGTTAATATGAAAAGCAATCTAATTACAAGTAGTTGTCATAGTTGGAAACATACAAACTGCGAAGACTGAATGAACGGGATATTGAAATCATATCGTTATGTAATTTACTTATGTAACAATATTGTTAAGAGCTTTATTAATTGTTATATTTTTCGTATATTATTTTTCTGGATACTACTCGATAAAAGTTGCTGCCAGATTTAAAAATGGACTGGATAAAAAATGTTATAAATCTTATAATTAAGTAATTTATAGTTTACAATTTTAAGTTAACCAAGCAATTATTTGAGATAAAATTGTTTTATATTTAAATTTAGAATTAATTCACAGGCATTAATTTAAGTAATAGTGCATGCTGTAACTTTTACTCTTCAAATATATTTAAAATAAATTATTTTAGTTAGCTATTCATATTATCATAAAATTTCCAATTTTATTGATTAACTAAAACCTATGATTCAGGTGAGTTCCCCTAAGGAAGACCGGCAAGAATTTATCAGGATAAAATTGAAGTTTTAAAAGTGAACGAAGAAACTTAGATGAAGAATGTTGGCAATAACAAGCAATAGCAGGGGATTCAATAAAACCAGTAATATTTTAAGGGGGAACCACTGATCTAAACAATTAATCTGAACGCATGTAACTTAGAGACATTATTGATATAAAAGGTCGGAATGTAGAATCATATCAATTCACATTACAACTAGATAAGTGTTGACATTTTATAAAATTTCCATAAGCCGGAAAGAATTGTCAATCGTTAGAATTTCCTGTAAATTAAATAACAATGTTACCATAACCTGTGTTTTCTTTGCCCTTTCAATAAAAAAATACAGACGTATTTAGAACCTTCTGATTCTTGAAGTCGGTTAAAAAATAATTTCCCTTTCTGATTCTAATTTCCCATTAAAAAATAATTACCTACCCAACAATTACTAATTTTACTATAACAAAGAAGTATAACAATTACTAAAATATATAATTTGCTTTTAAAATTCCATAAAATAATTAAAATACTGTCAAAACAGTACCATTTAATTCCCTTTCTTAGGTAAATGCATACTCTACACAAGAAAAAAGATTATTCTTTAAGAATTAATCCTAGTACTAGCAAAAAATTATATGTTCAGAGCTTCTACTATTTGTTAATGCTAAAGTGAGCTAATATTGCGTTGGCACTGAATGTATTAACCCTTTACTGCCAATGAATATTGCAGTGGGTTATGAAACACATCTAGTTATATATTTAAAACTTAAGTGCTTATTATATTTTTAATAACTTGAGGAAATGATAAAAAGTTAACATAATCATTTATTTTTGGTTTTATATTCACAAGAAACATGAACTAAGGTATGCAGAATAAATATAATTAAACAATAAAACTTTTATTTATCTACAAGAGCACATTGCAGGATACACTTGATCACTAAATACATCTACACCGGGTTCAAGCTCCAAGTTGTCTTAATCTTTAACATCATCACCAAGACGGTTGTAGATTTCATCACCAACTTGTTTGTTTATACGTAGGTATTTGTTGACCATCGGTCTGTAGTAATATGCTTGATAGTCTTGACGTTCAGACATCTTTTTAATTATCTCCTTCTCCAAAGCACGGAGTTTTATTTTTTGATGCTCTTCATCAATGAAGTGCATAAATTTTTCGTAATCCTATAAATGGTAAACATTGTTTTGATTAATATGAAATAGATAATTTTTATTCACAACATAGTTTTCATGACAAGAGCATTTATACTTTGGAAAATTATGGACTTTGAAATATAAATAATTTCTGTTAATAACTTTAATGTTAAAGTAAAAAGTACATATGTATTATGTGCATGTCAAAATCTTGTTTTTCAATTATCACGGAAATGATAGGTTTCCTGTACATGTGAGTAGGAGTTGCTCCTTTTCCTCTCTTTATCCCTCCTTCCAGTCATAACCAGCATGTTACTTCTCAATTTTAACTATCACTTGACCATTATTGTAATTTCAATTAGACATTTAATAAATTATAGATAATGAAAGAAAAGAGTCTGAGAAAAAACTGCAGTCGATGAACTATAATCTCCATTATTTGTTAGTAATATGTAAAAAATTACCTGCTGTGGATCATTGTGGATATAGCGAGCAATAAACCTCGTTATTGGGTGACGATGATACTCCCAATATTTTGGTGTGTAATCCTTAGGAATAGGCTCCAGTTGAGCCGGACCAATAAAAACATTGGTGTAAAAAATTATAGCAGTCACGGGAATCAAGCCGATCATCGCATAATAATGCAACATGTCCTTGAATTTGTGCCATTGCCATCTGTAAAAGCATTTTAAAGTCGAAAGAGACAGGCGTGTTACCAAATTAGAACATAAAATAATATTCCTTTAATAAAATTGGTTAGGTAATCATTGCGTCTGGAATGACATACCTCGATGGTTGTAGTGCCATAACCTTATGGCCATGGTCACCGTTAAATATTTTGCTGGTGGAAAAATTCACATTTTGTCCTTTAAACGGTATTGACTTGTTTTTAAATAAATTGATGCCAAAAGATCGACCTAAACCACTCCAAGAAACCATTTTTCTATTATGGTTGAAAGGGTGACAAATGACAAATGGTTGATGTTGATGGTTTGTGTCAATTGAAAAGTCTTATTGACCAAAGACTATAAAGCGACTTTAGTAAATCGAAGTATCGATTTGTGAAACATCGATTTGATTAACATTATTCCTTGATTACCCCAGTTAAAATCAAGTTTTAATTTGTCATTGCTGAAAAAAACTTAGTAAGGTCACTTTTTTAGGTAATGGTGATAATTATACTCACAACTATTTAATAGAAATACTATTTATCCGTAAAATAAATCGATTTGTAAATATCCGTAACAAGTACTGAACGAATATAAACTTTATATTATAAACATGTTAATGATAAAGTACAAATGTCAAAGAAATAGCAGGAAACAACTTATTAGTTGGTTGGTTTAAATGGCAATGAAATAAAATAAATAATTTTGATAATGCGATGCAAAAAATTAGCAACAAAATATTATCGAAAACACAAATTATGGTTACTTCAAGCTAATAAAATGATCTCGATGCGCTAGTAAATAAAATTACTCATTTAGTAAAATTTATTACTATATTGATAATTTCCTAAATTTTATTTAAGTAGTTATGAAAATACATATTTTAATTTAGCCAATAACGACGTTATTTTAGTAAACTACATAGCTTTGACATTATTATGTATTTACTACCTGTTGATTCTAAAAAAAAACTATGAGGTTAGAATACAAGTATAGAATAAGAGTATTGATTTTCTCACTGAGCATGCTCAGTGCTCACAGCTGCGTACTGTATGAGCTAACTACTGATAAGTCTTTCAAACACCCACTCGTATGGAAGCGTCGACTGGTGTAACCCACGAAATTATCAATTTACTGTAAAAAAATATTTTTAGGGTTTAACTAGTTTTATTATTGCACAAGTTACTTTCCAATAGACTATCTCGCCATTCAATATGTTTTGTTTGTGCGATTGATATGGAGGAACTGTTACAAGACATATTCAAAGAAGCTACTGGACCAAAGTTAATAGCACTCAAGAAGTCATGTCAGGAAGCACTGGGTATGTAATTATTGATAGAACATATATTTAATAAAAGTTTAAAAGGAAAAGTACAACATAAAATGAATGAAAGAATGGAAAATTTGTGAATGACTGATTATTTACGCCTACGCATTTGACAATAAAACTATTTTTATTTATTTTTATTTTAAAGCGTTTATTTATAATACTTGAATGGCAAATTATGATGTTTAATATTATGGTTTTCTCAGAAGTGTCTTACTTACCTGATCGTTATGTGCACCGCGTCTTCCTCGATATGTTTTTATGTGTAACTGAACGACAATATTTAGTTAATGATCGAAAAGAGTTTATTCTCTTGGGCAAAAAAGGACAGTCGTACGAGTGTTGTTCCAAGCGATCGTATCTACACCACTATGGCAACATCTTTTTTATTTTGCACCTACCGCTGTAGCTGCGCCCTAATAAAATCAATATTTTGCATTAATGTCAATGTGTACCTGCAAAGACGTAACAAAAATAATAAAAGATATCTAAATTTCGTCGAAATAAGTGCAGTCTGCAACGCACATCTGCATTGTTTCGCGGCGTCACCTTGACATTATCGATATTCTAGGTACACTTTGGAGCTTTTCTTACTTTTTATTTTACTCTTGCTTACTTTTTATTGATCGCTTGTGATCGCTAAGGGGCAAAATCCATACTATATTTTACCTTCATATTGGTTGTTTTTTAATCCCTAAAGGCTAATATCTACAGCTGTGCGCACTTCTTATTTATCTAGCTAAAAAGTTTTGTAACGATTCACGTAAAATAATCTCAATAATAAGTATCATGACTTGTAGTGTTATTATCAAAGCTACTGCTATGTTCCTTATAGAATTTTCTTAGAAGAAATAGATCAACAATGAAAAAAACAAGGCCTATAACAATGTATAGACGATTTCGCGTCATTTAGATTCGTGATGTGATTGAAGAGTGTGAATTTAGGAATATTAGTGATATATTCACTAAATTATAGCCCCTGCTGGTATTACTATAAACTTAGTTTAATGTTTGTTTTCAGAAGTACTTTGTATACAAGAAAGCAATGGGCGGAGGGCGTCGCACGAGGTGCGGCGCGCCTGCCTTCTGCCGCTGCGGCTGGCGCTCGAGACCAAGCGCCCCCGCCTCGTCGCATACGCGCTCCAGGGCTTTCATGTAACTACCCTTCAGCTTAAATCTACCCACCTACAACACAATCCTTTACACTGACGAAATATTCACTTAACCAGCAATTACATGTAATTTAACGTTAAAGAAGTTTTGACACGAAAATACTGACATCACAACTAGTTTTTGATAATGTTTTTGCAGTTCAAACTTACTTTTATAATTGTTATGACGTAAATTCTTTTGTACTTTACACAAGTAAATCGCTATGACGTCATTAGATTGCTCTCCCTTTCAGGAGTTTTTCAACTGCGTCATAGCGAATTTAGTTTGTATGACGCATCACGTTTCTTTACGTAAGTGCTTTTTTTGCAGTTTTTATTTTTAAAAATAAAAACAAGAATACGCAGTGACTAAACTTTGTTATCAGAAAATACTTCGCGATGATCGATTCCACCGAGGAATTGAACCCGAAGATGACTCACTATGGATGCCCTCGCAGCTTCTGTGTGCTACCTCCTCGGTTATGTACCACTTACCAGACACTCAGGTAACCGTAACATTCATTTCACGTCTTCCGTCTTTTAAGGACTCTACTGTAGAAATACATAATAGACCATAAAAAATACAACACAATTTTTTAATATTAATGGGAGGCAAACTAGCAAACGGCCACCTGAATTCGCTGAAATAACGAGGCAACCGCTGCTTATATCCGCAATTGCAAATTCTTTGCCTACCTTTAATCCACAAAGGAGAGGGCGTAAAGAAATAGAATATTTCCCCTTGTCAAATCTACATCCCTTTCCATCCTTGCCTCATAAGAAAAGGATGGGAAGAGAATAAAGCATTTGGTTTTTGTGGTATGTTCAGGTGCAGATATTCCGCATGTACTTGTCGTTGGCGCTTTCCCCGCGACGCACGCTCAATGGGCGGCTCTGCGTGTGGGCGTGCGGCCGGTGCGGCGAGGCGGCTGGCGCAGCACCCCAGGTCGCCGCCGCAGCTAGAGCGGCCGCAGCACAGGCCCTACGCGCGTACTGCATGCAACTCGGTAAAACTATATTTTTATCATCTATACTGCGTTCTCTGCTATATTTTTACCATAGATAAACTGAATAATTTTCACTAAAAACCGGATAATCCTAAACATTTCCGGTGAAATACTTTTTGACACATAACAATATTTCACGGAATACACGAATTTTGTAACATAATGTTTGTTTATGTCATAATTTTAACAAAAAACAAAAATTTAAATTCAGCATTGGATAGAAAAGAGATTTATATTGATTTTTAGCATCAGCTTTCAAAGAATACAGTATAGTCATCTCATAGACTTTATTACAGACGAAGAATGTCAAGAATTGCTCTCCGAAGGTTCCCCAGTTGGCAGGAATCATATTGTGGCAGTGGGATGCTACAGTGAAGTGATTCCTGTCATACAATATCTGTGTAGCCGTTTATCTGAGACACAAATGTAAGTAACTGAAATATTTTGCATAATTTTCATATTTATCTTTGCATAAATAATGTCACTCTTATAATTGTTAAGTGGTGCCTAGCACGCTTACCTCGTGTAGTAAAAACAGAGATACGCAATGGTTTTTTTCTAGGATTCCGAAGCAAAATCCATTAGCCCTGTTCTTTCTTGACTGCCTGTTGACGCTGATGTCCTGCCTTTCGGAACGCGTCAGCGGAAACTCGCACTTCACCGCTTTCCTCTGGCAGAAGTTCTGTCCCTCTCTCATCTCATTCCTCGGAACGCCAAAGGTCGACAAGAATATTAAAGCTAGGTAAGTTAGAGACGTTTAGGCATTCATCTGCATTAGCAAAGTTTCAATCAATCTAGTTGCTATTAAAATTTGAAAGGAAATTCGGTTACAGATTGTTTTTTAATATTTCAATAACAGTATCAATGTTTACTGACCTGCTTCTATTTTTAATTGCTAATTAACACTCATATATCAGGGAGCACGACGGCCACTTAGTGGATGATTCAGGAAGGGGATCCGGCGCCCTGGTCTGCGCACCTAGCTTCAACAGTAAGCAAGCTAAAGCTATTTATAGGTAATATATTTATCTATATCTTTATTTATTCACAACTTGCTTTCACTATATGTACTTAATACATTACTACAGCATAGCGAACCAATTAGTTCGTTTAGTGGGATCGATCTCGAACTTGCGACCGGTTCTGGAGGCGCTCTACCATCGCATGTTACTGTACCCACCTGTACCACACCGCGTGGAACCGCTCAGGAGCGCAAGAGAACTGCTGCAGAACCCCAAACGTCTAGCTCAGCTCATGCTCATGAGGAAACCAGATCATCCGGAAAGACATAGCGATGATATGGCTATCGTACGATTGTAAGTTGACTTTCATATGTAGTAGAAAATATCTGGTGAAATATGTTTCGTGGTACAAGTCTTCTTGCTTTAGGTACATCTCTACTTTTGAAGATTGGACATCAGTACAACTAACTATTATCGATCGTGTGGCAAGCGAAAAAAATCTTGGTACGAGGGCTTGAATAAAATCTTCTAGAAAACTGTTTCTTGAATTCATTACTTCACCAAACTGTTTGATTTGGATTCAATCAATTTGTGAACATAGTTTAATTATTATGTTAATATTTTCAACTCCTTCAACAAAAGAATAAGTAAGTATTTCCTTCTTTTTATGAAACTACTTAATGTATTCTTCAATTTCTTGTAGGATAATGGATGGCATAGAAGACTGCGGTCGCAGTGGTAACCCAGAAGTGGTGGCGGCTGCTGTAGAATGCGTCGTCTCATTGCTAGATGCTCTCGAGAAGCTTTGCTCCGGCGCCATCGAGTATATATCTCCTGATGTTGCCACGCTCCTATTAGAACAGTGGCCTAAACTACAAGACGCCGACTATACTGGGCCACTGACCTATCAGACTTTGGCTAGATTGCCAAGTCCGTATCGGTAAGCAAGTCCTATAATGTAGTCAACAATTTTTCAAACAAAGTTATTTATAATTCTTTTATGCGATAAATAAATGAATGTTTGTATCTCTTGTTTCAGAGATGTTGTTGCTGTATTACAAAGCAATGAAGAAAAGCAACACGATTCTTCAGGTATTTGAATGATTTTAGTATATTTTTCATCAACACAAACCTTTTACCTTATTTTTATATGATAAAGCTACATAATGTAATCATTACGGTTTATTCTTTGTTTTTTTTTATTATCAATATCGAAACTAAGCAATGTTTCTTCATCTACAGATACGTCTGGTCCGGAAAACAATAGTTCAGACGAGGGCGAGGCTGACTCTGACGCTGACAACGTGTTCCTGCCGACGCGCGCCACCCGGCCCTCGCCCAGCAAAGCCAACGATCCCTTCACTGATAAAACTAAAGCAGTGCCTAAGACATTGAACCTCGGCAGGTGAGAATCTATATAATTACAATGTTATTTGAAAATTGTCAATTCGACTCTTTTACGTGATGTTTTATGAGAAATATCATTACTTCTTCATAATTATTTTCAGATGCACAATTACCGAATGTAACGTAGACCTGGAGAGACACAATGCGAGGCAATTTGTAAAGACGTTACAGAACTCACTGCTGCCCAAGATTATTAATCTGAGGACATGTATAGAGGTTAGCTACTAGAGTTAGAAGTAAATTTACGTTGTCGGAATCATCGAATAGTATTAGTATGAAAAAATCCTAACTCTTGGTCATCATTGCCATTTTATGTGACTAGTAGACCACGATCCATCATCTCTACATCTCGCATACCTGTATTTTTTATATTTTCTATCTAATCATAAGATATTAACATCTTTTTACACACAAAAGTATTTACTGTAACAATCAGGTGGATGAGGCGATGCAAGATTTTGCGTCTAAGTGCTGTGCACATAACGCATCGCAGCCGCCAGCCACCGCGTGTATCATGAATGCGGACGGCGTCTACCTCGCCACATACGCCGCACTTTTGCTCACGCTCCGACAGAGGCGCATCAACTATTACAATGAACCTAATGTAAGCTATACATAAATATATTTAATTTCATCTAATAACGTAGAGGTAGAAATGGATGACAAACGAGGAACATCTAGGATTTATAGATTAAGTCATAAAATATTATCGATAATTTATTTTTACAAACATTTTTTCCACCAGAAAGTTCAAGTTCCTTTAACAGAAGATGAGTTCGTGGAAGAAGTTCAAGGTAGCGGCGTGCTGGTGTACTTGTCTGCCACATGGCTTCGAGAACTCTACCAGCAAGTCCTCGCCAACGACTTACTAAAGGATATCCCCACCACTGACCATCCTCTTATACATTTACTGTCTGGTAAGTTATCAATTGGTGAACAGCAAGGAAAAATGCTATGAATCACAAATATATAAGAATTCAAACAAAATAGGACTACTACTATACTTATTTACCAATTTAGTATCTTGAAAATTTGTTCAAGTGTAATAGATGATATAAATCTGGTACTTCATAGCCTGTTTATGTTGCGGTGTGCAGATCTGGGCGGACTGGAGCAGAGCCCGGTGATGTCTGACTGGCAGCGGCTGAAGGAGGTGTCGCGATTGTACAGCGGCACTGACGACACGCCGCAGCACCAGGCTAGCTTACGCTGGGCTAGAAGGTATACCAATATCATTACTAATTTAAGAGATTTCTTCCTGAGGTAGCAATCTACAGTTGTCACATCTTATCAAGATCAATCAATATCAGATGAATCGATAAATTGCTTGACCATTTTGACCAATTTAAGAAATTCATACTTAATTACATAGCAAATGTTACAACGATGTGAAAATTTGGTATACAATTCTTTACACAGGATCCTGACTTGCATCTGGGACTCCATGGTGACAGTACTCAGTGTGCCACTGACGGGCTACAGGAACAGGAAAGACAAGCTTCACGGCATCATATCCAAGAAGATTCACACCTTCGGCAAGAGGAAGAGGATTGCTTGGGAGGGACTCACTATACAGTGCTTAGAAGGACTTCACAAGGTATTTTTTAATTTAAAAGCTTCGTCTATTCATCAATATTTTTTTTCACTTCTTCTCTTGTATTATTTTTTGCGTGCTAAAAAACACGCTTTTCCTTTTTTAGGCTGCCAGGATCAGTAACACTTTGAGCTTACAAAACCGCTGCAGCAGTATTCTAGCACTGTTGGCCAACTCCGCAATATCCCAACCGCCCAACGGCAAGATCTTGGCAACGCATGCTCTATCACTTGATATACTGATCACAGGTAAATGATGTGAATCATTGTCTTCGTAAGTATTACCACCAAACTATCTATTCTGTTTTTTTCTCTAGGTGGTTTGGAGCTTGGTTCCAAAGCCCCAGAATGTTGGGAGCATATATTTGGCGCTTGCCACTATGTGTCCAGCCTCGAACACACGCTATTTGGGCAGCAGGGCAATAACGCTACGCCCATCGTGACTGTGCAGACCGGCCGCAACAAGACCGTCTCCGTGCTGCAAGCGGACGCCAAGCTCGCCCTCGACGCCAAAGATGATGAGACTTGGTATCTTCTTACATTAGCAGCAAGATTTAACAGCAAATCTTGGAAATAGTGTTAATTAAAGGAATAAGCTTATAATGCCATGCCATTAAGAAAACAATAATAAATGCAAGATAACATATACATACAAGAACGAGTAAATGTTAAGGATGGAAGACTAATTTAATTTCTTTTTTTCCAGTGTGGATGTTTTCAATTTTTTGCAACCAGTGATGGAGAACAATTTTAACAGCGACATGTCTGTGGCTAAAATTGTTGAGACGTGTCGACAGGAGGTAAGCCTCGTAATATATGTTTTTCAGAATATGGAAATAATTTGTTATTATTGCTTTAATCATAGCATACATAGCATATTTTGTATGCTATGATTAAAGCAGCTTTTTTTTCTTCTCATTTGTATTTACTTACTTTACCAAAAAAAGTCTGGTAGGGTTATACAAAAAAGTGCAGTCATTAATTTTAATACCAATCAAAGCACTAGCCAATGATCTACTTTAAAACAGGGAGGTAACGTGATATCGGGTGCGGGAGCAGCGCGCGTTTGCTGCGCGCTCGCAGCAGCCGCGGACACTCTGTTCACGCGCCTGGCCGCAACTACCACACTACCGGCGCTAAGAGCAGCGCTACAGCGGCTGGTAGCCCACCAACATCGACTGGTGAGCTTCGCTGCTGACTGTTCTAATAGCCGACATAGCAATTCTAATAATTGATTTCTTTTTTGCAGTTATTCTCATCGTGGGAGCAGGACGTGGCCAATAATAACTCGGTATGGTGGCGCCGGGGTGCACGTGCGGGCGGAGCTGGCGGCGGAGCGGAGGCAGCACGAGCTCTGTGCCGTGCCGGCGACGTGGCACTGCGCTGTCTGCGCGCCGCGCGACCCCTCGCACACCGCATGGCGATATGGACTGTCGTCGGACCACATTTCATGCAGGTAATATTTATTAATATCGACGATCCGCCAAGATAGATAAGTCATAATAATAAATCAAGGAAGAAGCAGAATTTATGACAACATGTAGTTCGAAAAAATCTCCGACGGTTAAATTTTTTCAGGCGGCCTGTCACAAAGATATTCAAATATCCAGTCTTGCTATACAATGTTTACATGACTGTGCGACGACTCTGCTCAACCAACAAGTAGAACTTCCTCATTTTCACTTTAACGAGGCTCTGCTCAAGCCTTTTGAAAATTTACTTTGCCTAGAACTGTGCGATGACGATATTCAGGTAAGATTCATAACATAAACAATTTATAATTACTTCTTTTTACTTTACATCTGTCTTCATGTTTGGTTTCATTTTGCAGGAACAGATTATTTCTTGCATTTGCGAGTTTGTAGAAACGAATCGAATGGAAATTAGGTCTGGATGGCGTCCCCTTTTCAATACATTACGCGCTGCAAATAATTCAAATCAATATTCTGCAATTTTGGAAATATTCAAGGTCTTCCTGAATACGGACAATACGTTGGTCTTCGCCAATGCGGCCTTAGATTGCATACTATGCCTCTTAAGTCATATAAAAGGTCTACACTTTGAAGAAGTACAAGCGACAGAAGTGAAATCGAAAAAAGTATCTACGCCGCCACAGCCGAAACCAAGTTTGAGTCTTAAATTTTCAAAAAACAGTAGGTTTATTCCACTTAGTGAAGAAAAATCCGAAAAAGTCATCGTGGATATGTGTCGGGAAGCACTTCTTCATTTGGAAAGCTGCGCAGATATCCTAACCATGATGTACAATATGCCAAAGTGTCCTATTTTCAACACGGGCAATAGAATCAAGGGGGATATGCCACTCTCGGTCGTCGATCCCATTATACCGAGTGGTTCACTAGATGTAACCAAATACATCACCAACGACAATTTTGAAGAAGAATTGATATCGTACAGAAAACTATCGACAAGTTTGCACCCATCGAATACCACGAATACCTGTCTGTTGAAACTAGATAAGCCCAGTAACATACTTAAAGTATGGTATGTACTAATTGAAGGTTTGATATCAGCAACAGTGGTATGCTCAAAGAAGAACCAGCCAGCCGCGATGGAAACACTCTTCAAACTGTTGAAAAACACCGCGGATGTGCCCGGCACTCATTTTGGTCTGCACTGTATCAATCATTTATTGTTGCCAACGGTACAAAACTGGCTTAGGCAAATCGCCAACGTCAATACTCATTGGGACACCATCATGCCCAATTTTAAACAGTGCTGTGGTATGACAACAGATACCATTGTTGTATTTTTACATCAATTGCAACAAATCAACATCGAAAGGTCCACTACCGATGAAAATAATGAAGTCATTGACATAGAACCCATAGAAAATGCTGAAGCTAGTTTTGCTTTGAAGCAGATAATGTTAATCTTGGTAGAGTGTATAGCGCAGCCGCAAGAGCCGATTGCTAGATTGGGAGCGTCTTGCATAAGACACATAATATTAACATCAGGGCATTTACTGACTGACAATCAATGGGAAATCGTATGCACTAGTCTGCATAGAGCTTGTAATGTAAGTTTGAGCCCTCTGAAACAAATAACATATGCTTTCAAAGAAAATTCAAACAGTTTTTATGGAGACTTGGCCATGGTGAAAGTTGCAGCGAGACGCGATTGCTCGGTCAATGACAACGTAAGATTACATGCGATGGCACAACAAGTATTTCTGACTGATCAGTTGAGAGGAGATAACAATGTAAAGCCTAATACCAAAAACACTAATCAAAATCAAATGTTGATTGATGATCGTAGTTACATTTTCCTTATTTATCTTCAAGACTCTATGAACTCTTTAAATCCTGAATTGTACACGGTCAGAATTCCTTACCGAGGGCTAGTCGTGGGTTTGCTTGCTCATCAAATACTTATACAAATTATAGCAACAGTCCTTATACAAGCATCATCAGACGTATTTCAAGGAATCAATAATATACTGCTAGAAAGCTTGAAAACTGGTTCCAGTGTTTGTAATTACAGATTCTTCTTGAATAAAGATAATATCGATCTACTTCTGAAAAGTTTAGAGATGTCTTATGTGCGAGCTATGCAATTTGATTTACGACCTGGACTGAAATTTTTAGTTCAGAAAGTATCTAATTTGGATCACGCTGCTAACCTTTACAAGCAAACGACATCTTCGTGGTTGATAAAAATTATAGCACTTACTGAAATATTCTTCAGCGGTGTCTATACTTACAAACTGAAATCGAATGATATAGCAATAATTTTGAACAATTACACATCGTCTCTTAATTTGACTCTCGAATACGACAGATTTGTGAGAAAAATATTTGATTTAAAAGCAACATGGGAATTACTATGTAATAATTTCATGAGACACGCAGGCAATGTGGCAGATTATGATGAAATAGACAACAGCAGAGACCGTTTATCCTGTAGTTCCATAGACAGCGAATCTTCATCAAATAATTACGAGCATTACTATGCTCAGGAAGCGTCTGATGATCCTGAACCCTCGCTAAATAATTCTGATAATGAAAACATCAACGATGGAAATGCTGAAGAGGATACTTCTGATAAACCGAGGCCTTTTACATTTGCTGATTTTAAAGCGAATGCTAGCAAAGTCACTAATGACACTGTAACGAAAAATCAAACTAATGGTTTTGATAACAATCAAGAAACCATAACATCAAATGGCGAGTCCCCAATTAATTGCGAAAAAGTTGATAAAACTCAAATGGATAAAAACAGGCGTGAACTTATAGAAGGTATCACACATAGATCAGTCAACAATAATCCAGAAAATGGACAGAGTCCTGAGAACAGTAAAGTTGGAAGCACATCGAGTGATGTCAGCAACCATGCGCGCAAAGTTAACATCACAATATGCGACGGACCGGGCTTTGAAAAGACAAAGTCTACTGAACCTATCATTCCACCACAGCCCGTGCCTCCGGAGATCGAGCAACAAAGAACTCTAAGCATAAATAAAGTAAGCATTTAACATTTCAGTAGACGTAATATTTTTTCTTTAAAACATTTATATCTTGACTCTGATTGAACCTGAATAAACTGCAGATTTCTCAGAGAGATCTGCAGAGTTAACTCTAAGTTCTACATGATATTTTCTGCTACTTACGAATTTAATGTAAATATATTTTTGCAGGACATGGACGTAAGACGTTCAAGCTTGCAGAGCATACTAATGGCATACCTAGAACTGGTCTTGACGTTCCCACTGGAGAGGTTCCAACTCGTGAGCCCAGTACTCAACGACGGTTTCCTACAACTCGCCAAAACCATCACCGATTCCCAACTATTGGATAGAATTAATATATTTTTCGATAAAAAAGACATAACGGAATTTAATTATAAGTAAACATTTAATTGTGATAATTCACACTAATATCGTTAACATATAATCCTCTTTGTTCAGTGTTATCTTCAAATAAAACTACGCTATCGATATTATAGTTTTAATACTCTTCATTAGCTTTTAGCACATAAATATACTTCATCTACAATATCTAAAAATCTATATCAACAAAATATATAACAAATTATAAAAATTGTAATACACTATTTGGTATTTAAGACTACTTGGTATAATTGTCTTTTTACATTTGTTACAACAATGTATATCAGTCATTTGTTTTAATCAAACAATTATTTCTTTAACAGAAGCATGCTTGATGTTATATTAGAAAACATTTCCTTATTTTTAGATCTAAAACGATATTTATTATTGCTTTATTTACTTATATTTTAGTCACCATTTTGACTTATTTGAAAATATTTAACTTATGCGGTACATGGCTTCTACATCTTGACAATACAAACCAATGTAACCAAATACAATGTTGACTATCTTCGTCAAGTATATAAGGTTTCGATAAGTTTAATGACTAACCTGTTTACATCAAAATCTTTTAATATATTGTCATCCTTGTTCTATATCTTTTACAAAACAGAGATAACAATATGTTTTAAACGGGGATTTTGGACTCAGAAACCCACGGATAGTTTAATAATCTGGTCACAAAAAGGATTAAAAGCACTATGTCATATTAATGCTAACAACATACTACAATAAAATCTATAACTACGAGACAACAACTTCGAAACAATGGCACAACGAACTCACAGCGATTATGAAACTTAAAAAATCTAAAGGTAAAAATGTGCCTTTTGTACACATAAAGCTTAATAAAAACGTATACACTATTTTGTCTGGTGGCGTAACTTTACTATTATGATGGCACTTCTATTTGGTTTGCAATTTTTCTTATAAAATATTTATTTACAAAATATCTATATTATTAAATACAGCCATAATAACTACGATTTGATAATAATATTCCAAATCAAAACTGTACAACATTTAAAACTTAAAACTATTCGGATTTTATTCCATCAACGGGATTGTTCAAGCAAACGTATTTTGCGATTTTATTAAAGATGCTTGAGCTCTATTTAATTAATTCTATCTAGGAATTAATGCAAATAATGTTGAAATGAATATTAAAGCTATTGATATACTAACACTAGATGCACTTTGAGTTGGAGTTGTATGAACTGGTATTGCATATGAGAGCGCACACAATGCTACGTCACTAGTTATCAACGCACTCTCTCTATTTATTAAATCTCCTAACTTTTCTGCTTCAAGAACGCACACTTTTAATTGCAAATCAGTAGGGTTATCTAATAAAGTTTCCACTGATATGAAAAGCTCCATTTCCACTGTTAAATACCCTCTCAGAGCACACTCGGCTATCTTGATATGCCTTTCTAAAGTTTTTAATATATTGCTTAAATGTACAACATTATCTGATATGTTCGTTCCATACAACGCTCTATCGAATTGTTTTTTCGCGTACAATATTCTCAGAGCACCACCACATTTGGGGCAGCACGCTCCTGGGGCGGTGAACCCGATGCATTTCGGTTTCTTGAGAGGAGGACAAACGATTCTATCGAATCCACACTTCGGCTCCATGAGGTCTGAGATGGGTCCGACGGCGAAGCAAGGTCCGAGATAGTCCACGCTCACGTACTCGGACCAAGCCGCGCACTCGGACATGTATGTGACACCGTTCAGACCACAAACGGTGCCCGTCTGTAACAAAATGTATTTTGACTACTTATAGTGCTTGTACTTTCAAAAAATAATTTATGGAAATTACATATTTGTTGTTATTAATTCAACCAGTGCGCTCACGTTTTCTTTAGAATAAAAAGCTTCGTGCGCCCCAGTTCCCATTTTAATAGTTTGTTGGAAAGCTGTCCTAAGAATTTGCTTTATTTTGTCTGATTGCTTACCGTCGCACATCCTTTCAGACAGCGCCCCCAGTAGGCGACTGTGGCGTGGCTCATGACGAGGTGGCAGGGACTCACGTGCGTACGGCCCTCTGTGTCGCACACCGCCATCGGGGGCTGAGACTTGCAATGTGTTGTGTTCACTGAAAACAAATTACTCATGAAAATAACATTTGCTTCTGATAACAACCACGTGGGATCTTTGGACTTCGACATCTTTCGCCAAGTCATGGCATCTTTGGGCGACCGCCATAGGCTTCTTATGGGGTTAGTAGTTGTAAGTTTACCACAGATATGCTGAGGACAAGAATTGGAGAGCTGAGAGAGACATAGTGCGGGGCGCGGCAGGCAGACGTGGCGGCGCGGGCAGGATGCGCGCGCGCACGCTGATGTTGCACCGAACTCGATCAACGCGTCCGGCACACCAGCACACCTGTAAGAAAAATTGTTGCTAGAAAACACTATAAACGAAGTTAGGAATACAAGGCCATGCTTAGTCATCGGTTTAAGATGCAGTATATATGATACAGAGTTAAGCTAGTTGGGAGCATACTTAGCGAGGCAGGCGTTAGCGTGGTGGCGCGCATTGGCGGTGACGGGCAAGTGGTGCGGCGGACAGTTGCAGGGCAGCCCCGTCAACAGCGCTGCGCGCCCGCACGCGCGCCGCGCACATACTCGCTCTCCCAATACGCACTTGCACGGATTGCACTCCATGTAGTATTTCTCACCTGAAAATAGCAATATCTCATAAACACCAACTCTTATTCATAAGTGTCATTAGGTAACGTAATTTCTTTATACATATTTGTGTATGATAAAAGTCCTTACCGTCTTTAACGACCTTATCATGCAACCTGCAGTTGGTGGAGTCGGGGTATATGGGCGGCAGCTGCTGACAGTGCGCCAGGCCGCGGCCCTCGCAGCGGCACACCTTGTAGCATAGGTCGTTGCCGTAGCACGCCACCGGCACGCGCACCCAAGACCCCGTCGGCACCATCACTGAACTACCATCCCCTGGACATTGACGCTTTATGTTACACTAAGTGCTACCAATAGAAAAACATCTAACAATTAAAAATTTTATTAAAATAATGAGCCATACTATTTTTTGTCTGGCTACTATAGGTGTAAGGGTCAATACTCGCTCCCCTCAAAATTACGTCTAGTTCCCAATGCCCTTGATTCGCCACTTCTCCATACGTACTCACTAACCGAGTGGACATCCTTCTAGGCAGGCATAACGCTTGCAGTCGGCGCCGTGCGCGCAGTTCCTGTTCACGACGCACAGCTGGCTGGCGTTGCAGGGAGAGCCGGCGCACGGTGACGTCACCACTTCCTGGGGTGACAGCAGCGCAGGCTCCGTACCTGTTGTTCACACAGAATTTATAAAAAAGCATAGACCATATTCAATGCGATGAGAATATTACCCATTTCAATGACAACAAATTAAGGGTAACCAAATAACCCGACATTGGTATGAAATCTCATAGGCACTAGCAATAATTATACTGACTGGGATTCATGAAGTCGTGCAAGGAGACGCAAGGGGCGTGAGGTCGTGCAAGGCGCGCGCACAGCGCTGCCGCAGTCACCTGCACGCGAGACCACTCCACACACGATGACACCACCCGGATGCAGTCTTCGACACACAACAGACTGCTGTGACCCTGCATACGGATAGCATTGTCAATCGATTTGAAGAAATGTTAATGAAGGACATAAGAAGAACTGGTACTTACTTGGTTGCTGCAAGGTTTAACGTGCAGTGTACAAGCCACGCTTTTCCAAAGATCCGTTGGACACTGAGAAGAATTTTTCAGCGGCAAATTCAGTCCAGATATAAGTACAGATCTGGGAAGAATAATAAAATAATATTATCTAGACATAAGATGATGGAATTCTAGTGAAAGATGTTGCCACAATAGGAACGTACCCTTTATCCTTCCTTTCGGCGACGGCGACGTGTGCGTTGAGGTCTGCCTGAGCGGAGCATGCGCGGAACAGTGTGGTGGGCCGGTTGTTTAGCTGGCTGCAATAAGTCAGCCCTGCGCATCCCAGCGAGCACGGTGCCTCTACTGTTCGACAGAATGTACACACTTTACACTTGGCAGAATGACATATTGACCAGTTGAAGAATTTTAAAACAAAACGGCCAATCTACAGTTTCTAATAATGCCTTCAATTTACTTTTTTAAAATGTTGGACGATAGACAAAACATAGGTTACCTTCTTCGATGCATTCAATGAGCTTCATCTCCTGCGGGTCCATGAGACAGTCGCTGTAGAACTTCTGCCCATTTGTCGGCCAACCGATATTGTAGGTTTCGAAACATAGCTTCTTGCAGTTTATTGTTACAGCCTAATATAAAATGTTAACATGTTATTTATGGAATATAAGTTAACGAATACATAGAAAAGAAATCAAAATCTAAAACATCGCTAGCAGCATATCAAACTCTAAGAATTAAAAACATACAACCAAATTAGTAAGTACCTTTTCACAGCAATGTAGTTTAGCGGCGTCATAGGGCACGAAGTTCTTGGTGTTGAGTGGCGCATCCTTACGCAGAAAGCATTGCCACAACTCGTCGTGTATGGCAGGCGCTCCACAGTTAAGGGCCAGCGCGTCTGCGATCTCCTGAGACTCGCCCGTGCGTCGCAGCACCTCCTCGCAGTTCTTGCGGCACTCTGGGCTCGCTGACTCTTGGCAACATGGTAGATCTGCGTAGAATTAACATTGTAAAGACCATATTGACTATTAGAAGAGATAGCAGCAGTTATTTCACGCGAAGATCAAAAGAATTCGTGTAAGCAGATATACGCAAGACCCGAACAATCTCTATAATCTTATCCAATTTCATTCTTTCTTATCCTTCTGTTGCCTATGAAACCAAAGCTTACATTTAGATGTATCCGTGTGCACAGTCGAAGCAGTGAGGTCGTAGAGGCAGCGTAGCAACGCTGGCGAGCCCTCGCACAAGTCGGCGGCATGCTCCGTCAGCGAGGAGTCGAAGCGGCCCAACCCCACACGCCACACCACGCGCTCGCACGCCTCGTGGCAGCTCAGCGACACCGTCTGCGCTGCAACACAACACAACATTTCAACACATTACCAACAGAGAAATACATTATGTC